GGGCGGGGGAGCAGGGGGAGGGCTCTGTATCCGGTGGTTGGAAGGGGGCTGGACTCTATTCCCCGCAGGCACCTGGAAACAATTCCACGCCGTTCCCACCACCTGTGCCCAGGAATCGAGACAGACAGCGTCCCACCACTTTTCAGGCTCCCTAATTCTCTAACTACCTCATCCCACTCTGTCCTCAGTCTAGGTTACGAGGTGGGCACTGGCTGCCTTGTCTTCAGAGAGTGGGTTTTACTGCTGCCTGGGGCACGACCTGCCCGATATCTCAGCGCGACTTGATAAATTCAGATCCAGGACTCATTAAAGGGCTTTGGTGTTCTTGGATTAGAGCAGGAAGTTGAAGTCCTTGGGTGAGGCTTGTTCAAGACAAGGCTCCAGAAGAGTCACTGGGGACGCCCTCCTCCACCTGAGAGGCACCAGCCCCCTTGCCACCTCAGCAAAGAAAAGGCACACAGACAAATGTGCCCCTTGTCCTATCAGAGCGCTTTCAGAAGGAAAAGCTTCCAGGTGGGGCACTGCTCTGAAAGGTCAAATCCAGGACAATCAGGATGGGGCTTGCTAGCAACGCCTTCTTTCCTCCTGAAGCAGCCAATCACCAGGGTGGCCACAAGTGGCAGGGTGCCATGGCTCAGGCAAGCGTCCAGTGACTCTAGGATCTGTGAAGCCTTGGCATTAAACCCGTTTTGCAGCTGAAGATTTAATGACATGGAAAAATGGTCCTGAACTAGTAAATGGGAGGAGTGAGTTATAAAATACTGAGTAAAGTTGGATCCCATTTGGGGGATAAAAAAGTTGGAAGAATATTAACAAGGTCATGAGATTACAGGTATTTTTATTTTGTTCTTTCTGTTTATTTGTATTTTCTATTTTTTCCTACAATAAAAATGCATTGATTTTATGATAGGATTTTTTTTTAAGTCACTTTCGTCTGTTAAAAGGGGGATGTGGCCAGTATTTGAGCACAGCTTTAAGAATCAGACTTCTCTTCCCTGTCTTGGACATAACCCAAGTTCAGTGACTCTTTACCCAGGATATTTAATTATGCAAAATGTGTTGCTGCCCTTTTCCTTTAGTAAGAAAGGGCAAAATGCCAGAAAGCTGTGGATATAGGTGTTTCAGTGAAAAGCTCAAGCATGTGATTTAAAGCCAGCGTCCAGGGCTGGGCCTGCACTCATTCTCATGAGCCTGATCCATCCTGCCATTCCCTTGGCTCTAGGGTCTGGCCCCATCCATGCATCCTAGCCAGACTCTGGTGCCCCAGGGCAGTCAACAGGGAGGTTGGCTAGACCTTCCTAATGAAGACAATCCTTTTTGAGAGAATTTGCAGTCACCACGACTGAAGCAAAATGGTCTCTTGTTTTCTAGAAAATTCAGTGACTCATCCCACTTTGTCTTCTGAGCTCTGCACACAACTAGTTTGGGGCTAGAGAAGGAGAAACAAGGGAGGAAAAGAAGGGGAGGAATTGAGGGGATATTAGAAGTTGATCATCCATCTACTCAACGGTGTTTCTGAGTGGCCATTTGTGTGCCAGGCTTCATGAGAACCACTAGTGATACAGAGGTGAAAACACAGTTACAGCTCTCCTGGAGCCTTCGTGCTGGCTGGGGAGTGGGGAAAGTTGGCAGGCAGTTATAATGCAAGGGCATGTGGCAGGGACACAGCAGAGCCTACAGCAGGCACACATAATCCTGGCTGAGACATCAGGGCAGGCTTCCTGGAGGAGGAGACCTCTACACCAAGACCTGGACAACAAAGAGGAGTTGGTGAGGCCAAAAACAAGAGGAAGGCCTGAGAAGAGGGTGTCAGGCAAGGGCAGCATGCACAAAGACCCAGAGGCGAGAGTGAGGATGGTATGTTTAAGATGCTGGTGAGAACGAGGCTGTTAAGGACCGAAACATAACCTAGAAGGCAATGGGAAGCCATTGAGGACACTGGAACAAGGGAGTCACTTGTTCAAATTTCTGTTTTTAGATCCCTTTGGCTGTAGTGACCTTTCTACAATGAGAACAGGAAAAAGAGAGGGTGAGGGAGGCAGGGATGGTATAGCAGAGCTGTCCTCTAAAGCTCTGGGAGCCTGTCCTCAGACCTAGACTGATTCAGTAGGGAGGTGGGGAGATGCTGCCTATGTAACAGGCGGTGGGTACCCTGGTTCAAGTCCTCAGTCTTGAGCCTGGGTTATTTAAATTGTACAGTGAAGCTAAACACGCATCTCTCCAAGGGCTGTTGAAGCCACTGAATGGGAAACAGGTGAGCTCACCATAAACAGGTAAGTTCTGTGCCGACCTCAGTTACTGAGCGTCCAGCTCACCATCAGCCACAGGTGGGCATTTCAGAAGGGCTTTTTGATGACAAGAAGGGTGGCAATTCTAGCCCAGAATTAACACAGATTAAACAGGAAACAAATGACAGAGGGATATTTCAGAAGGCCACACCATTTTCACCTCAAAGAAGAAAGTTTTAAGCTCCAGGAGGGCACAAGTGGCCGGGAAGGAGGTGCACTGACCTTGTGCTCAGGGGCTGGTCGCCACGTGGTCCCCGCGGATCGCCTGCAGCGAGAGCTCGTACCCAAGGAACATGGCCGCGCTCATGGGGAAGCCCCGTACGGCATTGACCGTGATGCCTCTGAAAAACACCTTTGGCAGGAGGCGGCGTTATCACAGGGCACTGACTTGCACCTTCCGCAGGGCTGCCACCGAGGGCAGAGCCAGGGCCGGTGCTGCTGCCCACCCACACAGCCCCCTGTCCCAGCCTGGACCCTACAGAGCCCAAGGGACCGACCGGGGGGGTGGAGACACGCCCCCCCCCCC